CAGAACTCTACTTACTCCTCCCAAGAAAGGAACCAGATTAAAAAGTAGCTCCCGCCAGGCACGGTGGCTCATGCCTGTAATCCCAGCACTTTGGGAGGCCGAGGTGGGCAGATCACCTGAGGTCCGGAGTTCGAGACTAGCCTGACCAACATGGAGAAATTCCGTCTCTACTAAAAATGCAAAATTAGCCGGTCGTGGTGACACATGCCTGTAACCCCAGCTACTCGGGAGGCTGAGGCAGGAGAATCACTTGAACTCAGGAGGTGGAGGTTGTGGTGAGCCGAGATGGCGCCATTGCACTCCAGCCTGGGCAACAAGAGTGAAACTGTCTCAGAGAAAGAAAAAAGACAAAAGAAAAAAAAAAAAAAAGCAATTCTCTTCACCCCCAATACTCTTTATTTTGGGATAGTTCACAACAAGTGGATTATTTTCCCTTCTTCCTGCTTTCTCCTTTTTTCCAAACCCATCCAACAGCCTTTATGAAATTCTGTCCCAGTGAACCAATCACATCAACTATCCAAGAGGCAGAAAGGAAGAGCTACAGCCCAGATAAAATTTCAGACCATCACAGTTAGTTCCCCTCTGTTGCCCCTGTTATGGTAACAGCATACTTTTCCATAGCTGATGAGAATGCTGTGCTGGAAAAGAAAGGCAAACAGAAAGGGTAAAAGACGTGTCTATGTTTCTGCTCATTCCCCAGAGCAAAACAACTCTTCTAAAAGGGAGCAGTTCAGCACCTTGAAAGGAAATAAGGTAGCAGAAAGAATCATATTAGCTAGCATTCTGGAGGTAGAAAAGTCTCTTTAAAAATGTCTGCAAACTTCCTTTCCTAGTAAGATAAGCATCTCAAAACAGTGGAGGAAAAAAATGGAATAGTGATCAGGATACTAAATTTGAGGGACCCACGGACAATAATTAGCTGTTTAATACTAACAAGTTACTTAACTTCTCTGGGTCCCAGTTTCTCTTAATAATAAAATGAAAGCATTAGGTTTCTTCCAGGTCACTAGTGTTATTAAAAGTGGAGCCGACTATAGTAACTTTACCTTCTTTTGAGGGCAGAAGTAGCTTCTCAATGGAAGAACCAAATATCATCCACTCCTCCACAGGCGGATAGAAAAATAAAATAAAATAAAATCCAAGAGCCTTTTTTTTGGCCTGAAATTCGCCCAACACAAAATCCCTTCTTCCTTTGTAATGAGAAAGGGTACTCTTCTAGCAATATGAGAAATCCAAGAGGTTACAGCAAGTGTGTTTTCACCCACTTCTCATTTCCCAAACCACAGGAAGGCAATTTTGAGAAACCTCAAGGGTAAGCTGTATCTCCTCTGATCTCCAATGAATAAAGGACTCTTCAAGGAGGGAGAAACTCTAAATTTGCTAGGCTGTGAATGTCCTTGCTCAGTCTGATCATTTAGGGCATTCGATCCATCAACTGTTGTTATGCTGGAATGCTCTGACGTGTACGTGACCCTCCAGAAGGTTTCCAGAAGTTTGAGGCAGGAAATGTTAATCCCCTCCCTTACCACTAAACAGAGATTTCCAATACAAACCTACCACTCATTTTTCTAAATGTTTTCAAGTCTGAAATATATGTTAGCACTTGACTCTACCCTTTCAGAACTAAAAATCTCCTCTGTCTGCCCCTACCCCCAAATCAAGAATTTAAACCTGTTCAGACCAAGGACTGTATTTCCTACTTTTGTCTGTTGTCCCCTTTTGTGCAAACCACTGCCCTGGGTGCGCAAAATTTACTAATGATACCTAACCACATTAATCCAGGCGTCTGGGGGTGGCCAGATAACAAACTATTGCACCCTGGTTGAGGGAAATAAAATTACATGGTGACAGGAAGATGAATGTAGCATTAGAGATACACAAACCATCAGAGGGGGAAGTTAAATCAGTAAGTAAAGAACACCTAAACAGCATTCATTGCTGTAATAGTGATTAAATCCAACTGCAACAGTACCATGTCCTTATAAAGATAATAGATAAGCCCTCATGTTAAAAATCCAAAGATTACGGCTGGGCGTGGTGGCTCAGGCCTGCAATCCCAGCACTTTGGGAGGGCGAGGCGGGCGGATCATGAGGTCAGGAGATCGAGACCATCCTGGCTAACACGGTGAAACTCCGTCTCTACTAAAAATATAAAAAATTAGCCGGGCGTGGTGGTGGGCACCTGTAGTCCCAACTACTTGGGAGGCTGAGGCAGGAGAATGATGTGAACCTGGGAGGCGGAACTTGCAGTGAGCCAAGATCACACCACTGCACTCCAGCCTGGACGACAGAGCGAGACTCCATCTCCAAAAGACAACAAACAAACAAATAAACAAAAAAATCCAAAGATTACGATGGGCTCTCCCAATAAATACAGGCTCAACATTAAAGAAGAGCCAAGATGACAAGTATTTAAATCCAAAACAAAAAAACTGTGTGTAGAAACAATTTGGGGGGAAGTTAAGTGATATTTGAGAAAACAGTGATTGAGTGTTAGCAGGAGGGGTAACGAATCAGTATTTCCGGCAGAATCTTTGCAAGCACTTTAAGAATTAATCCAGGCTATGAGATAGGCTTCTATCTTTGAAGCAACGCTTAAAGACTATGCCCTTATTTTTAAAAGCACGGTAGCTTGACTATTTGACATAAGCCAAAAACGCATCTAGGTGGCTCTTCCCTCAGGGGATTAATATATAGCTGAAAGTTTAGTTCCTTTCCCAAATAAACTATAGCTGAGTGCAGTTGTTACTATGAAGTGTTCTGAACTGCTGGAAGCGCAGGCATTTACTGAACAATACCACAAAGAATTCTGGAAGAAGTTATCAATCCCTTTCCATCACCTCAGAAAACAGTATCTATTTCTTTCTTTCTTTCTTTTTTTTTTTTTGAGACAGAGTCTCGCTCTGTCGCCCAGGCTGGAGTGCAGTGGCCGGATCTCGGCTCACTGCAAGCTCCGCCTCCCGGGTTCACGCCATTCTCCTGTCTCAGCCTCCCAAGTAGCTGGAACTACAGGCGCCCGCCACCTCACCTGGCTAGTTTTTTGTATTTTTTTAGTAGTGATGGGGTTTCACCGTGTTAGCCAGGATGGTCTTGATCTCCTGACCTCGTGATCCGCCTGTCTCAGGCTCCCAAAATGCTGGGATTACAGGCTTGAGCCACCGCGCCCGGCAGTATCTATTTCTTAAAAGCAATCAGTTCAAGTTCAAGACAACTCTTATATGGAGCAGATTCTGGTCTGCCAAAATTTTTCAGGATTAAAAAGCAAGATCTTGGCTGGGTGCAGTGGCTCACGCCTGTAATCCCAGCACTCTGGGAGCCTGAGGGGGCGAATAACTTGAGCCCACGAGTTCAACACCAGCCTGGGCAACATGGAGAAACCCAGGCTCTACCAAAAATACAAAAAAATTAGCCAGCCGTGGTGGCACGTGCCTGTGGTCCCAGCTACTCAGGAGGCTGAGGTGGGAGGATCGCTTGAGCCCAGGAAGTGGAGAACGCAGTGAGCCGAGGTCCTGCCACTGTACTCCAGACTGGGCGACAGAGCGAGACCCTGTCCCATGCTCAAACACAGGACTTGGTCTTGAACTGATCATATCGGGGGGAGATTTCTTCCATGAGTTAAGCCACCTAAGAACTCGACTATTCTGCAAAGTTAACATTTCCTTAAACCCAGCTCTCCATACATATTAATGAACTTCTGCCTGGGTCATTTAAAAAGCCTTCCAAGGCAGCCCCCCCACCTAGAGCGGCCTGGCTGAATTTCTCTGTAAAGCTCTCTCCTAGATTTTTATCCCTTGGTGTTGGCAAGAAGGTCTTACTCCACAGGCCTTGCTATTGTGCAACTCATCTAAGGATGGTCCAGGCCTAACTGCACCGGATTGGTTGCAGTACGGCTCCTGAGCCCTGCCCACAGGAACAAGGCTAGCAATCCTCTAGACGGCAGGAGCTGCGAAGTCCCCACCCTCTAGCAAGAGGCCACCCCAGCACCAAAAGAAGACAAAGTTCTGAAGTTAAAAAGGAGGCCCCGTTCCCTTCAATAAGGCTCCTCAAAATCGCTTTCCAGGCTCCTCCCTCTGGAGGACAGCCCAGTTAGGGCACAGACAACCTTTGAGCTCTCTTCCCGTGACCAAGCTTCACCTCTACCCCAGTGTTACTTATTTGTAAACAGTTCCTGGTCATGCTTTGAAAAGCAATGCCAGGGAACCACCCTCTCTCTGGACTGCCTCTCTCTAGCCCCTTTCACAGCATCAAGCAACCACCCCACCCAACTGGGGTGTCCTTGACAAAGGTCCTTCAATCCATTTAAAAGGCGTCGCCGCCGAAAGACAGCTGCCAGGGCCCTACCACCCCCACCTACTTTCCCTTGGCTATTACTTGAGCTTTATTTTATCACTCTATCCTCCCGGCCTGGGGACTCCCCTCACCCGTGGGGCCTCGTCCAGCAAAGTAAACAATGCTGTCAAAGCGGGATAACGCTGGGTGAGGCTTCCACACTAGGCATTCCAGCCTCCTCCCGGTGTTCTAAAAGCAGTAAAACAAGCCATCGCAGGATCCCAGGGCCGAATTCCTCTCCCAAAGTTCTTTTTTAAAAAGGCCCGGAGCCAGCTTCAAAATCACGCATTAATTTGCACAATCTGCAAGAGACAGGCAATGCAGAATGTAATGCAAGGCCAAGTGGAGCCAAATCCGCCCGGGAAGGAGGCAGAGAGGGGAGAGAAAACTGGGTCGAGTGCGTAAGCCTGCCACGAAGCGGAAACAAGAGCTCTTTTTCGCGACAGGACAGCCACATTCCCGAGTGGGGCGCACGCGGACTCGAGCTCCGGGCAAGAAAGAACACGAAGTAAAGGATCCCGAACGCTCGGGCGAGCCCAAAGGCAGCGTCCCCGGGGCTTCGGTGGAGCTGGGGGCGGGGGCGGGGGCGAAGCGGCCGGGCACCGAGACGCCGAGGAGTTAGAGGACCGCGGCGGGACACCGGGCGCGGCGGACGGCTGGCCGGCGCTCACCTCCCGGTGTGGTGGAGAAGAGCGTCCCCCCGGGCGTGGTGCAATAGTCATGAGGTAGCTGCGCGGCGTCGCTGATGGCCACGGTGCGGGTGGGGATGGCGCGGCTCTGGCTGGGCTGGTGGCCGCTGCCGGCTGACGAGGACATGGCTGTGGGCGCGGGCTCTCGGCTTTGTCCGGCGGGCAGGCGGCGGCGGCGGGGCCGGGGCTGCTTCGGCTCCTCAGGCGGACGGAAAAGCGCGCTCTGCGCGCTCCTCGCTCGCTTCCTCTCGTTCTCTCGTCCCGCTCCGCTCCCGCCGCCGCCCTCTCAGCCGCCGCCGCCGCCGCCGCCCGATCCTCCGGCCTCCGCCAGCAGCCTCAGCAGCAGCAGCAGCGGCAGCAGCGGCGACGACGACGACCGGAAGCGGGCGAAGGCGGGAGCCAGACGGAGTTGGGGAAGCGGGTTGGCCGGAGGTGACGTCGCCGCGGGGCGGGGCGAGGCGGTGAGGGGCGTGGCTGCAGTTGTTGAGGGGGTGGGGCCGAGGGGCGGGGCTGAGGATGAGAGTGGCTTAACCCCAGCGGGCGGGAGAGGAGCCAGAGGGAACCTGAGCTAAGTGTTTGTGAGTCCGGTGAAGGGGCAGACAAGGATAACTTTCTTTGTCTTATTGTTTGTCTTTGCCGGTTAACACCACTTTACTTGAGCAGACTTGAGTCTCTCATGCATTCCTACGATTACAAATGTAATTTTACTTTTAATTGTTCATTATTAATTCAGGCACAGCATCCACGATGTACTGTATTTTAAAATCAAACAGAGCAGAAAGGTTTATGGTGCCACTTTCTCCCAGTTTCCGAACTCCCTTCAACCGCTGTACCAGTTAATTGTGTATCCTTCCAAAGACCATCCCTGTATACACACATAAAGCAAGATCTAAACATTAGGAAACGGAAGAAACCAAGAGGCACCCGCGCCACAACAATGAGTATTATTGTATTAGAGATAAATTGAGGCATAGGAGAGGGCTTAGACCACCAAGTACCTGAAAAATCTAGATCTGGAACTCTATTATTTCCTCGAGGGGTTCTCAAACTTTGGGTCTCAGTACCTCTATATTCTTGAAAATTATTGAGGATTTCCAAGAGCTTTTGTTTGTGTGGATTATATGTACTGATAATTATTGTATTAGAAATTAAAACTGAGTCCCTGCTGATCAGTAGTGGGATTGTGCCTGTGAATAGCCACTGCACTCCAGCCTGGGCCACAGAGTGAGGCCTGTCTCTTAAAAAAAAAAAAAAAAAAAATTGGCCGGGCGCGGTGGCTCAAGCCTGTAATCCCAGCACTTTGGGAGGCCGAGACGGGCGGATCACGAGGTCAGGAGATCGAGACCATCCTGGTTAACACGGTGAAACCCCGTCTCTACTAAAAAATACAAAAAACTAGCCGGGCGAGGTGGCGGGCGCCTGTAGTCCCAGCTACTCGGGAGGCTGAGGCAGGAGAATGGCGTGAACCCGGGAGGCGGAGCTTGCAGTGAGCTGAGATCCGGCCACTGCACTCCAGCCTGGGTGACACAGCGAGACTCCGTCTCAAAAAAAAAAAAAAAAAAAAAATTAAAACTGAGAATGTTTTAAATGTTTATTAATTCATAAAATAATAACCTATTACATGTTGACATATATTTTTTAATTATCTAAAACAAATAGAACAGTGGCATTATTTTATATATATATATATATATATATTTTTTTTTTTTTTTTTTGAGACGGAGTCTCGCTGTGTCACCCAGGCTGGAGTGCAGTGGCCGGATCTCAGCTCACTGCAAGCTCCGCCTCCCGGGTTTACGCCATTCTCCTGCCTCAGCCTGCGAGTAGCTGGGACTACAGGCGCCCACAACCGCGCCGGCTAGTTTTTTGTATTTTTAGTAGAGACGGGGTTTCACCATGTTAGCCAGGATGGTCTCGATCTCCTGACTTCGTGATCCACCCGCCTCGGCCTCCCAAAGTACTGGGATTACAGGCTTGAGCCACCGCGCCCGGCCTTATTTTATATTTTTGCAAATGCTTTAACATCTGGCTTAATAGAAGACAGCTGTATTCTCATATCTGTTTCTGTGTTCAAGCAGTTGTAATGTGTTGATTCAAGTATATGAAGAAAACCCAGCCTCACACAGGTATGTAGTTAGAAAAGAAGATTGTCTCAGATCCCTGAGTGGCTCTGCAGATCACACTTTGAGAACCACTGCACTAAGGCAGCACTGCTTCTGCCCACAACATGCCCAAGGTGGGACTGGGAAGAGACTCATGGGTAAGGCCAACATAGCTACCATCATTCCCATTTTGCAAATGAGAAAAATAAGGGTAAGAGAGGTTGAGTGGAAAACAGCTATTGCTTCACTGCTCAGAGGGTCAAACAGGCGCTTGGCAAGAACATAGACAAAAGAACTCACACAGCCCAGGGCAGGCCAGGGCATTACATGGTACTGATTTTGTGGTGAGTGTCCCAAGAATCCAGAAAAAAAAAGTCCCCTGCCTATCCTGCCATCTGGAAGCTGCCAGAGTTGCAGAGGACTGAGTTTAACCTTGAAAAACTCTGAGACTTTGGACATGCCAACAGAGACACTTCTAGTGGAAGGAAAGGAGAAGATACTAGTTTACATTTGTGTAGAGCTTACAGTGTGTGGTTTATAAAGTGCATCAGTCCAGTAGGGGCACAGTAACTCACACCTATAATCTCAGCAATTTGGGAAGCTCAGGCAAGAGGATGGCATGAAGCCAGGAGTTCAAGACCAGCCTGGATAGCAAAGCAAGACCCTCCTCTCACATTTCTGCAAAAATAAAAATAAATAAAAAATTATCCAGACATGGTGGTGTGCACCTATAGTTCCAGCCTACTCAGGAGGCTAAGGCAGGAGGATCTCTTTAGCCCAGGAGTTCAAGGCTGTAGTGAGCTATGATTGTGCCACTGCACTCCAGCTTAACAGAGTAAAACCCTGTCTCTAAAAAAATTAGTTAATTAATTAAAAAATAAAGTGCATCACTCTTTGAACTGTCTTTATTTATAAATTCTGGGGGTGTTCTGGGGACAGTGAGGAGAGACCCTTCTGGCCAGAGCAAAGGGTGAAGATGGTACAAAAAAGTTAAGCTGGGCGTGGTGACACACGCCTGTAATCCCAGCACTTTGGGAGGCCGAGGTAGGCAGATCACCTGAGGTCGGGAGTTCAAGACCAGCCTGGCCAACATGGTGAAACCCCGTCTCTACAAAAATACCAAAAAAAAAAAAAAAATTTGCCGGACGTGGTAGCATGCGCTTGTAGTCCCAGCTACTTGGGAAGCTGAGGCTGGAGAATCCCTTGAACCCTTGAGGCAGAGATTGCAGTGAGCCGAGATCGTGCCACTGCACTCCAGCCTGGGTGACAGAGCGAGACTCCATCTCAAAAAAAAAAAAAAAAAAGACACAGAGGCTAGGACTAAAGACGGGATGAAATGGAATAAAGGAACTAAAGTACAATTTGGAAGTTTTGGGGACAGGTGGCTTTTTATTTATTTTGCTAGACAGCCTGGGGGAAGTGAAGAGAGCACAGGTTTGGGAACAAAGAGACTGGATTTGAATCCCAACTCTGCCGTTTACAAGCTGTGTGACCCCAGGCAAGGTACCTATGCTCTCTGAGCCTCATCTGTAATGTGGCAATAACCATGTTACCTCATCTGGTAGCCCTGTGAGTTCGCATATAAAGTGCTTAGCAAATAATTGCCTCTTGACAAAGTCATACTGAAATTAATTGAGGTGTTATTTTTTATTACTATTATTTTTTGAGCCAGAGTCTTGCTCTGTTGCCCAGGTTGGAGTGCAATGATGTGATCTTCGGCTCACTGCAACCTCCACTTCCTGGGTTCAAGCAATTCTCCTGCCTCAGCCTCTCAAGTAACTGGGATTACAGGTGCCTGCCATCACACCTGGCTAATTTTTGTATTTTTAGTAGAGACAGGGTTTCACCATATTGGCTAGGCTAGTCTCTTGGCCAGGCTGGTCTCAAACTCCTGACCTTGGCCTGCCAAAGTGCTGAGATTACAGGTGTGAGCCACCATGCCCCGCTGAGGTTTTAATTTTATTTATTTATTTATTTATTTAGAGACAGAGTCTCGTTCTGTCGCCCAGACTGGAGTGCAATGGCATGATCTCGGCTCACTGCAACCTCCGCCTCCCCAGTTCAAGCGATTCTCCTGCCTCAGCCTCCCGAGTAGCTGGGATTACTGGCACGTGCCACCACACCCGGTTAATTTTTTGTATTTTTAGTAGAGACGAGGTTTCACCATGTTGAAACTCCTGAACTCAAGTGATCCTCCTGCCTCGGTAATTGAGGTTTTAGATTTTCCCATTAGGACCTCTGCTGTCTCCTGCACCTTTTCCTCAATTAAAAGTCAACAGTCAGGCCAGGCGCAATGGCTGATGCCTGTAATCCCAGCACTTTGGGAAGCTGAGGTGGATCACTTGAGCTTAAGAGCTCAAGAGTTCGAGACCAGCCTGGCCAGCATGGTGAAACCCCATCTGTACCAAAAATACAAAAATTAGCCAGGCATCATTGTGCACATTGGGTCCCAGCTACTCCTTGGGAGGCTGAGGCAGGAGGATCACTTGAACCAGGGAGGCGGAGGTTGCAGTGCCACTGCACTCCAGCCTAGGAGACAGAGCGAGACTGTCTCAAAAAACAAAAACAAAAACAAAAAAAGTCTATAACTGTCTGGTTTCAGAAGTAGCAGCACAAAATTGCCTTTGTGCTCTTTTGAAATAAAATGTGTGTGTGCATGTGCATGTGTGTGAGTGTGGTTGTGTATCTGTGGATTTCTTCACCTCTAAAAAACCCTAAAAAACCTCACTCAAGGCCGGCGCGGTGGTTCACGCCTGTAATCTCAGCACTTTGGGAGGCCAAGGCGGGCGGATCACCTGAGGTCAGGAGATCGAGACCATCCTGGCTAACATGGTGAAACCCCGTCTCTACTAAAAATACAAAAAAATTAGCTGGGCGTGGTGGCAGGCGCCTGTAGTCCCAGCTACTAGGGAGGCTGAGACAGGAGAATGGCGTGAACCCGGGAGGCGGAGCGTGCAGTGAGCCGAGATAGCGCCGCTGCACTCCAGCCTGAGCGACAGAGCGAGACTCCGTCTCAAAAAATAAAAAATAAAAAGCTTACTCAACTAATTTTTTCACACTTTCTAAAAACTTGCTTTTTTTTTTTTTTTTTGGTAACAGATTTATTGAGATATACTTATCTACTATAAAAGTCAACCTTTTTTTCTTTTTTTGAGAT